ATTACATTTTCACTGGATGCAATCTCTCTGGGAAATATATGGCCATAGTTTACCGAATAATTTAGCTGGCTGCCCACAATATCATTCCCAATTAATGTTAGTTGTGCGGCCTTTAAGCCTTATTATACTTTGTGCTTCCCTTTGTTGATATTTCCCCAGCCGCTTCATCAGCAGCCATAATTTCCATTATAACTTATTGTCTTTCTAATTGAATGAGCGGGGGGAATGGCCTTGCCCATGGCAAAAATCTATTCATTGTTCTATTTGCATACAATATGCCAGTTATTACACATGGTTATGGCCCAAAACACACATCTATATATGTCTATATATCTATATATCTATATATAGTTGGCTGGAATTCGGTTGTTTGTGTTTAAGCTGAATAGCTGAAATATATGGCCAGTTGGCTTGCCAGGGTCGATTTTTGCATAAATTAGACATGAGTCCTTTTCAAAAAGGGGGGCGGGGGTGCTGGGCGAAGTAGGGAAAGCTCTGCAAATTAGGTTACATCGTCAATGTTTTGGAAAATAAAATAAATACACTTAGTCTACGTGTCTTTTGGACTACGATTATAGGGAAAAGTTGGCCTGATTTGACCTAAATTCCTACAGAATGCATTCACTACATGCGAAAGTGCAATTTCATTAAATACCCAAAAAGACATAACAATGAACAGAGATAACAAATTACTTGCCATGAATAATAATAAGGTGCATTGCACTCCCCCATTTTCCACGCAAATCTTCTTATGTTGCAACTGCAATGAATATCAAATGATGATGATGATAATAATAATGATGGAAATGCAAGGAATGAAAATGCTGACAAGCCGATGAACATAAAAGATATTTTCAATTGAGAAGCAGGGGAAGTTATACAAAAGGTATTCCGGTAAACAGTTTCTGCCAAATGTTATTGGTGAAGTAATGTCTGATAAAGATTTTCCCTTTTTTTAAAGAAAATTCCACGGCAAACCCGCTCTTATCATTCCTTCCACAGATTTTTGTCACTTTCGAGAACAGCTCTATGGCAAAGTGCCAGTGCCAAACTGGGAAACAATGAGTAAAATTTCATTACCGGACGATGGGATGGTTTCCACTACAAAGATGTTGATGATGCTGTAGGATAGGGGCGGGAAAATAAAGGGGTTATATGGTGGGTGGTGGACTTGGAAAGGAGGTGCTGCAATCTTGACGGGAATTGAAATTGAAAAGAAAATGAATGAAATGTGCCACGAGGAGGGGTAGAGAGTAGGGGGCATTGGAGAACAGCTTACTCGGCTGAGCTCTCTGTAAAGTCCTTTCCCAGTTGTCGTCCTTCTCATTGCCATTCTTGCTGCCTGTCAACGCGACTGTCATCTACCCAATCTACCCAACCCACCCTTCTAGTCTCCTCCCCTGTTGTCCTCCGGTTATTTGCATTAAAAATATTATTCATTGCAATCACAAGGATTTGCGCAAAAATGCCTGCAATGAGCCGTTGTCGCTACATAAAATGCAATTGCCGGGAAAAAAGACGAAAAGTTGTGATGCGAAGAATGAGACTCCTTTTGTCTACGGCGGAAAAGGCGAATAACGATATAACAGTGACACAGTTTAACTGCCGGCACTTGAAAGGGGATTTGAATTTCACAAGATTAATGATGGGAAATCAATGGAAATTCAAGGAGAGTTATTCTCATCAAAGTTAGTTATAGCAAAATCCCTTCTTAGCCAATTAAAGTGTTTAAAGCCATATGCTTTTTGTGTGTGTAAACTTAAAGATCGATTAACCTGGTTTTGTGTAAAATGTGGCCTACAACATATCCGGTTTCTTTTTGTGTTCTTCCAAATGATGTACAATAATTGAACCGATTTAAATGGCCTATAATTAACTGGCTTTGATAGCTGATTTCCATAATTGCTTTTTCCACTGGGCCGGCAACTAATTGCCGTGAATTTCAACAGATATGCGACTAATGTGCAGTTGCCGCCAAAGTAGCAATAAATGGAGAACACACAACGGCAACATCTAGCAGCAACATCGACCAGCAACGGCGACAGCGACAACAGCAACAGCGGCAGCATCAACAACATCTGCACTTTGATGTTGCCTCATGTTGCACAAGGACCATTTCTGGGGAAAAGGGGGTTGGTGCCACAAGCCAAGGAAAACTGGCAGCCCAGAGCTGATAAATTGGAAGTGCATTTGACGCTGCTGGCGGGAAAGATGTTGCCGATGGTTCACTGAAAATCAGAAGGAAATTTATAAAAATTCTAAAAAATTCTGCTGAAGATTAGGGCTTACTGTCTTATGTAACATTCATATTGGATTTTCCTTTAAATTCTATTTTTTATACGAATTATTTATACACATATTTTCGCCCATTTTCCTCTGTGTACTGTTATTGTTGTTGCTGCCGCTCCTAATATGGGTGATGATGTTGCTGTTGCATTTGCATTTGCTGTTGCTGCTAGTGCTGCTGCTGCTGCTGTTCTTGTTGCAGTTGCAGTTGGTCTCGGTGTTGTATTTCCATCCTTCGCCTGCCTCCCTCCGCCTCAGTCGGTTAATGAAACTGCCAAACGAGGCAACGCTGCCACATCCGCCGTCTCACGAGCAAGTATCTAGCTCTCTGTCTCTGCCCCCGGAGCAATGCCTGGGCCAAGTGTTGCCGCAGCAGCTTCGGCCTGTGACAGCGGCAACATCATCATCACCAGCAGGCGGCAGCAACATTGCTGCCTCAGTCCCCCTCCTCAGGATCCCCGCCCATTGAACGAACAGTCACGCTTGCTTGTCAAACACTCTGGCAGACTCTTACGATCTCCGCCGGCTTCAGTTGCATCTCCCCATTGCCTCCTGCCACCTCTCTATCCTCTCATGGCAAAATCCATTTGCATATTTGCATCCTTATGCCTGACAGTTAACGCGCCCCTCGGCCCGCCACGCCCTCAGATTTTCCACCTTTTCCAAGCGGCGCGCTTTTAACGACAAAGTGTGAAATTTCATTGAATTTGAGCTCGTTGACAAAAGTGGAATGGCAGCAGCAGCAACTGCGACAACAGCAACATTGCAGGTGTTGCAACTTGTTGTTGCTGCTGTTGCTGTTGCTGTTGCTGCTGCTGCTGCTGCTGCATCTGCTGCTCTTGTTGTTTTGCAAATTAATTTAAATTATGGTTGTTGTTTTTTTGGGCTTGGACAAGCTTTTTATGCCATATTAACTAAAGGCTGGGGAAATTTCGAAATGGAGAAGGAAACCAGCTAATTTGTTGGGAATTGATAGCCGCAATTAGTTTGCCATTGAGTATGCCGTCGATGTTGCAAAAACATCCACTTAATTTATAGTATGCTAATTTTTTAGGACAACAGATTTATATCCAATTTGTAACTTGTTAGTTTACGAAAATATAACTTAACTTTAATGAAAAATTCGAAATTTAAATGTAAAATTCATAAATCTCTCAAGAAACTTCCTCCATATTCATTTACAAATTTTTTAACTATTTTAGCCACCACAAAAATGTTTAATTTACACTCTTTTACTGGCTGAAAATAGTTTTGACCCATTAACCCATAGTGCAGCATTTTTTCCGCCACTTTTACTCCACTTACCCGCAATGAGGATTCTCCGAACTTGGGCCACACGACTTTGGATTTAAGTAATTTTCTAATGACACCACAGAGGAAAAATGACTCTCGGGGACTTGGGGTTACCCAAGTTGTCTCCATCCCCCCTCGAGTTTTCCTTCTGCTTCTCCTCCTGCTGCTGCTGCTCATTTTCCTGGCTGCTCCTGCTGGCGACGTTCATTAGATTAAAAGCAATTTACAGTAAAACTTTTTGCCACAAAACGCCTTCTGCCCTGATGTTCCTCCGCCCCATTTTTCCCACCCCCAGTTGCTGCTGCTGCTGCTGTTGCTGCTTCACACACGTGCTGCAACTCACATGTGCCCCAAAACGCCGTGCAAATGTTGCCACCAACCCGAAAGACACTAAGAAAAATGTGCTTAAATGTTAATTTTAATTATTTTGAGGTCTAACTAGCACATTTTCTTATAAGAACTGAATGGGATTTGAGTGTAGAAAAAGTTAATATAAATTTAAATATGTTTAATAAAAAAGGTTTAGATCTTAAATAACAAGTTTTGCCACAAAAAACCACTCTAAAAAATATAAGATTTCCCATTTTAAAATTTATTTAAAATAATAAATTTTCTTCTCTGCATTCATTTGCCGTTTTCCGCTTTTTATTTTCAGAATTCAACAAATTTGCGGATTTGGTTTGTAATTTATTAAATTTATCGCATGCTCAGAGCGCCTTAGCAGTCGCTGAATGAGGGGCAAGAGCCAACCCAAGGGGCGGCAATGGGAGTGGATGACCTACGCCTGCTAATGTCTGCGGTTGCGCTTTTCCGGGAAACGGGGTGGGGGTACGAGGAGGTGGTGTTAGAACAGGGCCCCCGGACCAAAGTCTCCAGGCAGTTGGCATCTGCAACATTTGTTGATGACAACCCAAAGACACAGAATGCAACATTTCGTGGAACATTTTGTGTGTGGCACGCCCATTTAGGGGAAGTCATTCGGAGCTTAGAAGTTATTATTTTGATTTATAGAAAAAGTTCGTTTGGCGAGCGAAAGTTGCTCGTATATTTTAAACAAGGGAGGGGAGTTTGGGGAGTGGAGAAATTACTAGATACGAGTAGAACCACTGCGTTGAAAATTGAGAGGAAAAATGGGGCAAGGATCTTTGTCACCACGTTTGTTTTTTAATATTAGTGGGGAAAACTTTGAAATGATTCTATGTTTTGGAAAAGTGCAAAAGATTAAAACAAATGGTTCAGCATATGGATAGTAAAAGTATCTTTATTATGCTGGGTTTTAGAGTTCTTTACTAAGTTTATTTGGAAAATAATCTGAATCTGATTAAATATTCTTATAATTTTGAATACACGAACTTTTGTAGAATTTATCACTTGAGAAATTTTATACACTGACCGAAAAGCTTACTACTAACTTCACACATTTAAACCGCTGCTAACTTGGTCTGAACATTGTCTTCCGTAAGATTCCTTTTGGTCCATCCACTGGAACAGGGCATATCGGGACCACCTTCATTCTGGTGATCTCCCTTCTTCGGCGACTCCGTTCCACAATACGTATCATGGAGATCGGCACAGTCCGTATTACAAATATTCCTCCATCCCTCGGAATTTATATGGTAGAGCCGAACAATGCCTCCGGAATATGCATCTTTTCGGGTGGCATGGTAAATCGCTCGTCTGGCCAAATCATAGGCTTCCTGATCAGTCAGATCATGACGATAGCCAGTATCCAAAACTCCAAGAGCATAAGGCGAACCACTGCCCACCGAGAAGACCTGACCGTGGGCCCTCATGCCCTCCGAATCCACGTAAATTAATTTGGGTCCCTCATCATCGAAGCCAGCCAACATCATTCCCATCACCAGACCCATTCCCTTGTACTCCGTCGAGACATTACAAATGATCCTGGCAGCCGTGTCCACAGTCATCCGTTTCCGATAGCGGAGTTGGTGCAGCCTGCACTCCTTGGCCAAAACTCGATCCCAGTAGACACAGTCGGCTGCTCCACCAGCCAAAGTGCCCAACATATAGTCGTTAAGCTCCACTATTTTCTTCATTGTCTGAGAGCCTATATACTGGCCAGAGGTGGCTCTTGAATCTGCACACAAAATCACTCCTCCCTGGTACTTAAAGCCCAAGGTGGTGGTGCCATGGTCAAAATCCATGCGAATGCCACAATGGGCCAGGATCTTTGGCAGATTCTCAGCGGGCTGTAAGGAAGAGTAATACTTTGTTTTGGAATTATAACTAAGATTATACTTACCCTTTCGAAAGGAGGAGCCATTAGGGCATAGGGATTTTCAAAGTTGCTAGTGGCCTCTCGAAGCTGCTGCTGTTGCCACTCGGATTGCAAGTCATCGAAGCGCCGCATATAGGGCTTTCGATTCATGCCGCAAATGGCCTCCAGAGCCATGATTTTGTTTTTAAATGGTTTATTAAGTTAAATATTTAATTGTAAGCAATAAAATATGCAATGTGTAATGAAACACATAAAGAACATTGTAGGGGACTAGAATCTCTAAGGGATCTACAAAAAGTTTTTAAAAATTTTAATGATTAATAATAACTATTTAGTTTTTCTCCTATTGACAGCTCATGCTAAGTTAATTTACTAATACAGCTTAACTTTAATTAGCTTAGGATGTAAGAAATGTAGTTCAAGTCGTATTGACTTTCAACAAACAGTAACTAGCTAATCATAGATCTAGTTCCCATCAAACTTTACCGTTCCAGTGGCAAGTTTCGGTCCAATGAGTAATGGGCAGTGGCAAGGCCAGTCTCCGATTCCATTGGCATTTCATGGTTAGTGGGTGAGAGGTGCCGTTGGTCATTCGCCACTTGCCACCCAAGTGGAATCCGATGGACCTTCAGCGGTTGGCAGTGGGCAGTGGGCAGTGGTGGCGCCACCGCAGAGATACACGACATTTTAATTGGACTGCCTGGGACATCATCGCCACCTGCAGAGATGCGAAAATCAGCCTAAAAACGAATGAGTGAGGAATGGAAGGTGTTTTCCCCAATGACCACGCCCACTCGCAGGCAGTGGCAAACGGATTAGCCGCTAATTAAACGCCAATTGGAAATGTTTGCTAAACTGTTTGAGTCCCGGGTCGAGAGGGGTTCCCTGATATATGTCGTGGCTCCCACTCTTCAGGTTCTTCTCCTTCTCCCTCAGCCACTGCCACTGCCACTGCCTCCATTAGCGGACGCCATGTGTCACTGATCTAAATTTATGCAAATTGCCGAGGACTTGGTCTACTCCGCGCATTCCCCATCTCAGCCTCCTTGCTTTCCTCTCCGATTCCGCATCACCCATCCGCCACATTGGCACTTTTCATTTTTGCACGCGCTTTCGATTGCAGTTTGCATTCCCTGCCCTTCTATTGGAGGACTGAGGGGGCGGTGGAAAATCAGCCTGCCTTCTGGAGAAGACAAATGTTGGGAAAAAAGAGCCGAGCTCGCTAAGCTATACGTTTGCGTTTTTAACGACGCCTGTCTTGGACTAACTTAAGCTAGAATGTTATTAGTTAAAATAATTTAAAATAGGGCTTAAAGAACTTAAGAAATGGGAAATTATAGAGTAAAGTTTATGTTTTTATTAATATACTTAAAACTAAATACAAAACGAATCATAAAAATAACCATTTTTACATTTTCTTACGAAAAGCAGAGAATATTAGCTATTTTCTTTTCTTATTAGCTCTTTATATTTTTAAATTTTATATCTAGACCAATAAATATATTTAACATCTTTACAATTATCTAAGATACATTTTTGAAACTTGTTGGATATTTTGTATTCATTTTAAGCCAAGTGTATTCAACAATTCGACTAGCAAAGCCAGAATTCTGCCCCTCCGCGTTAGTTACTGGATAGTTTTGACTGCCAGCGCTGATTATTAAATCACAAGGCAGGGACAAACTGGAGCCGGGGCAGCAGCAATCTGATATGCAAAATCTCGTCTATCCCAGACGATGCCACTCCACGAACTCCTCCTGGCCTTCATCCTATCCCCTCTAACTCACCCTCCCCACTCAGCGGCATCTGTCCTGCGTTAATTACAGCCCAGTTTTGTGCACTGGCAACAACTTGTTAAAAATTTCCGCTGCCAGTTTATTAGAGGGCAACTAACTATACCAGTAGCCGGGTAGTATATATACCCATTCCCCTCTCCACCTGTTCCCTTTTTTGGCCTGAAGTGGCTGGCAAATTACTTAGTCTGAACCTGTTTTAATGACTAAAATGACGCCAAGTCAAGAGCGAGTAAGAGATTTCGGTAGACTTGAGTTTCCCGGCTGCAATTATTGCAACGATGGGAGAGGGTTCTGTTACATTTGCCATTGTGACAGCCAAGGATATTGCTTAGCTGAAACATAATAACTTTTTGTTTGTTTATTATTATTTTATAGTACTTAATACTCGTATATAATTTATCATTAAAGTACCATCTTTTCCTATAGAAGGATCATGAATAACTAAGCCTCATGTGTTTTACTATCCTTCAAAGTGAGTATTGATGAAGTCGCGGGCGTCGTAGTTTATGGTAGTCGGAAACTAACGAAGATCGGGCAGCCGAAAACGGGCAATGGCCAGCTAAGCGCCCCGAGCTCATTGCAGAGTCGGAGTAGGAGGACAGTATTACTAAGAGTGGGAAGTGGGGGCGGCAGAGGGCCCGGAATGGGAAAATTTTACCGTGAACTGAACAATTATTATTATTGATGAAATCGAAATAATTAATCCTCTCCATTGCTTAATAATTGTAAAAAAGGACCAGAGCTCTAAAGCTTCTACATATATATAAGCAAGTCAAGTAAGAGCCTTGCTTAAACATAAGACTAGTCTCATTATAATATTCTGTCATCGTATATATTATATATCTTATATCTTGTCCTTGAACTATTTGGTTTTCATAGAAAACTGCAGTGTAAAACTTTTGTAATCAACTTTTCAATCTCTATATTCCTTCCTTAAGATCAAAGCTAAGGCAAAAGCTAGTGACGTGGCGACTATTTCTTATAGCTGCCATCTGAAGGGTAAGCTTAACAGTTGAAAACAAAAATTGAACGTGATATAGATTTAAAAGTAGAATGCTAACAGAAAAATTAAAAATGGAATATAACGAACTTATTTACATATAAATTTAACGATAAAGTTAGTCCCAATAGTCTGACTGTACCATCAAAATTGTTTTTCTTTTCCACGTTAATATATGGAAGTACCATTCATCTTCTTACACTCAGAGCGATTCTATATAGTAAACTTTCATAGTGATAAACCACCTTGTTTACAAGCCTTAGAAATTCCCTTAGACTCTTCAACGACTTCTTTTTATACCCGTTACTCGTAGAGTAAAAGGGTATACTAGATTCGTTGAAAAGTATGTCACAGATAGAAGGAAGCGTTTGCGACCCTATAAAGTATATATATTCTTGATCAGGATCAATAGCGAAGTCGATTGAGTCATGTCCGTCTGTCCGTCCGTCCGTCCGTCCGTCCGTCCGTCCGTCCGTCCGTCCGTCCGTCCGTCCGTCCGTCCGTCCGTCCGTCCGTATGAACGCTGAGATCTCAGGAACTATAGCAGATACAAAGTTGAGATTAAGCATGAAGATTCTTGAGGTCCCGGGACAGCGCAAGTTTATTACAGCATCCTGCCAGATGCTTCTGAAACTTTCCACGAAGTTGCATCTGGCCACGCCCACTCTAACGCCCACAAACCGCGGAAAACTGTGGCGTCTATACTATTATTATGAATGCCTTCGATTGACTTTGTATAACTTATTTCTGTTAATATCTATCGATTTGCCAAAGATTTTTCAAATCGGAACATTATTTCGCTATTTATAAAGAAATTAAGTTATAAGGCCTCACATGGGCAGTGACGTCACAATAAGGATACTCAACATACTTCCTCTGACAATAGGTGGCGCCTCGTGAATTTGCACTAGCAAAATAATATTTTAAAATTTTGTAAAACGGTAGGTAACGGGTATCTTAAAGTCGCGGCACTCGACTATAGCGTTTCCTCTTGTTTTTTATGTGTGTGTGTTGAATCTTTGGATCTTTCTGGGGGACTCGATCCCATACCGCTGGATTCTTGGGGAATCGCTTTAACCCCCTAAGCGGCGATTTGCCAGCGTCGAATTGTTCTATAAAAGCTATCGTTAACAGCCTACTTGGATGCTAATCCGCCAGCAAACTGTTTGCGACCGCTTCCAATTAAATTGACTTGCAATGTGGAACAGGATGGGCAACTACTAGCTCAGTCAAGGTCAACTGAAAGTTCGGAAAAAAAATAGTTTTATGACCTTTGTAAAATTGATTAAAATTTTTTGTTGTTTGTATGCAGCTTAGCTTGCACCCGCTTCCGTGGCGATTTGCCAGTGTTGAATCATTCTATCGATAACGGCCTACTTTGATGCTTTATCCGTATATTTTTATGTGTGTGTTGCTGGATCTTTCTGGGGGGACTCGAACCCATGCCGGCGGAATACTTCGGGTTCACCTTAACCCCCTGAGCCACCGTCCGTGGCGATTTGTCAGCGTCGAATTGATCTATATAATAAGCTACCTATCGATAAAAGCCTACTTTGATTCATACGATATATTTTTATGTGTGTGTGTGTTTGATCTTTCTGGGGGACTCGAACCCATGCCGGCGGAATACTTCGGGTTCACCTTAACCCCCTGAGCCACCGTCCGTGGCGATTTGTCAGCGTCGAATTGATCTATATAAGCTACCTATCGATAACAGCCTACTTGGATTTGTATGCAGCTTAGCTTGCGCACCCGCTTCCGTGGCGATTTGCCAGTGTTGAATCATTCTATCGATAACGGCCTACTTTGATGCTTTATCCGTATATTTTTATGTGTGTGTTGCTGGATCTTTCTGGGGGGACTCGAACCCATGCCGGCGGAATACTTCGGGTTCACCTTAACCCCCTGAGCCACCGTCCGTGGCGATTTGTCAGCGTCGAATTGATCTATATAAGCTACCTATCGATAACAGCCTACTTGGATTTGTATGCAGCTTAGCTTGCGCACCCGCTTCCGTGGCGATTTGCCAGTGTTGAATCATTCTATCGATAACGGCCTACTTTGATGCTTTATCCGTATATTTTTATGTGTGTGTTGCTTGATCTTTCTGGGGGGGACTCGAACCCATGCCGGCGGAATACTTCGGGTTCACCTTAACCCCCTGAGCCACCGTCCGTGGCGATTTGTCAGCGTCGAATTGATCTATATAAGCTACCTATCGATAACAGCCTACTTGGATTTGTATGCAGCTTAGCTTGCGCACCCGCTTCCGTGGCGATTTGCCAGTGTTGAATCATTCTATCGATAACGGCCTACTTTGATGCTTTATCCGTATATTTTTATGTGTGTGTTGCTTGATCTTTCTGGGGGGACTCGAACCCATGCCGGCGGAATACTTCGGGTTCACCTTAACCCCCTGAGCCACCGTCCGTGGCGATTTGTCAGCGTCGAATTGATCTATATAAGCTACCTATCGATAACAGCCTACTTGGATGATAATCCGTATATTTTTTTTATCTGTGATCTTTCTGGGGGACTCGAACCCATGTCGTCGGATATTTGGGGATTCACCTTAACCCCCTAGGCTATCTATCGATAACAGCCTACTTGGATTCTTTCGTTATATTTTTATGTGTGTGTGTTTGATCTTTCTGGGGGACTCGAACCCATGTCGTCGGATATTTGGGGATTCACCTTAACCCCCTAGGCTATCTATCGATAACAGCCTACTTGGATTCTTTCGATATATTTTTATGTGTGTGTGTTTGATCTTTCTGGGGGACTCGATCCCACGTCGTCGGATACTTGGGGGATTCACCTTAACCCCCTAGGCTACCCATCGATAACAGCCTACTTGGATTCTTTCGATATATTTTTATGTGTGTGTGTTTGATCTTTCTGGGGGACTCGAACCCATGTCGTCGGATATTTGGGGATTCACCTTAACCCCCTAGGCTATCTATCGATAACAGCCTACTTGGATTCTTTCGATATATTTTTATGTGTGTGTGTTTGATCTTTCTGGGGGACTCGATCCCATGTCGTCGGATACTTGGGGATTCACCTTAACCCCCTAGGCTATCTATCGATAACAGCCTACTTGGATTCTTTCGATATATTTTTATGTGTGTGTGTTTGATCTTTCTGGGGGACTCGAACCCATGTCGTCGGATATTTGGGGATTCACCTTAACCCCCTAGGCTATCTATCGATAACAGCCTACTTGGATTCTTTCGATATATTTTTATGTGTGTGTGTTTGATCTCTCTGGGGGACTCGATCCCACGTCGTCGGATACTTGGGGGATTCACCTTAACCCCCTAGGCTACCTATCGATAACAGCCTACTTGGATTCTTACGATATATTTTTATGTGTGTGTGTTGGATCTTTCTGGGGGAACTCGATCCTATGCCGCTGGATTCTTGGGGATTCGCTTAATCCACTAAGCCACCGTCCGTGGCGATTTGCCAGCGTCGAATTGTTCTATATAAGCTACCTATCGATAACAGCATACTTGGATGCTAATCCGTATATTTATACCCGTTATTCGTAGAGTAAAAGGGTATACTAGATTCGTTGAAAAGTATGTAACAGATAGAAGGAAGCGTTTGCGACCCTATAAAGGCAATTTAAAGGCTTAAATATATATAATTTATGTTTTCTACAGTTATCCTTCCCCATATGGGCACTCAGACGATGAAGACAACCATTGAGATGAGTTTGCTAGCTGCCAATAATATCCTGAATGCCATGGAGGGAAAGCCCATGATTAGGCCTGCCTACTGAGGAAATTTAGATATAAATCGGAGACTAAAAATGTCTATTATAATATTATATTATATTAATTAAATGCGAATTAAGTATAAACGAATTATTTTTGATATGAGATATAACTTTATAAATATTGATTTTTATACCCGTTACTCGTAGAGTAAAAGGGTATACTAGATTCGTTGAAAAGTATGTAACAGATAGAAGGAAGCGTTTGTGACCCTATAAAGTATATATATTCTTGATCAGGATCAATAGCGAAGTCGATTGAGCCATGTCCGTCTGTCCGTCCGTCCGTCCGTATGAACGCTGAGATCTCAGGAACTATAGCAGATACAAAGTTGAGATTAAGCATGAAGATTCTTGAGGTCCCGGGACAGCGCAAGTTTATTACAGCATCCTGCCACGCCCACTCTAACGCCCACAAATCGCTATAAGCTAAAATTGCTGAAATCTCAGGAACTATTGCAGTTAGAAAGTTGAAATTCAAAAAGTATAATCTTTAGATGGCAGCGCATCTTATAGTGGTACTACTATCCGGCCACACCCACGTATCCGCCCACAAGGCTCAAAAGACGGTTTTCGGATTTTCTAGAAAGGCTGATATCTCGGTAACTATAAGAGATAAAAAGTTCGGATTAAGCATGTAGGTTTCTATGATGCTCCCAATGCGAATTGTTTTTTTCCGATCAAGCAAGGCCCACTCTAACGCCCACAAAACCCGAAAAACCAAAAATGCAAAAACCTCAAAAACTATAAAACCTACAAAACTTTGATTAGGAACACGTATTTAAGAGATGCTTCTGAAACTTTCCACGAAGTTGCATCTGGCCACGCCCACTCTAACGCCCACAAACCGCGGAAAACTGTGGCGTCTATACTATTATTATGAATGCCTTCGATTGACTTTGTATAACTTATTTCTGTTAATATCTATCGATTTGCCAAAGATTTTTCAAATCGGAACATTATTTCGCTATTTATAAAGAATTTAAGGTTATAAGGCCTCACATGGGCAGTGACGTCACAATAAGGATACTCAACATACTTCCTCTGACAATAGGTGGCGCCTCGTGAATTTGCACTAGCAAAATAATATTTTAAAATTTTGTAAAACGGTAACGGGTATCTTAAAGTCGCGGCACTCGACTATAGCGTTTCCTCTTGTTAAGCTCTCGAATTACAAAAACAAAACTCTTTTGAGGATTGTTAAAATAAAATAAAGGCACGTAAGCAAAAACCGTTTTAGAGACTTTTGGCAAGGAATATTTTATTTCACTTTCGTTTTATTTACTTTTGCCGCTTAGCATTATTGTTTTAAAATCCTTCAAATCCGTTGTTTTACTGCTTATTGTCCGGGCCCAACTCAGCCCCGCAACTTTGTTGCCAGCAACTTTTAAGCTTGCTTAAGGCGTCCAACAAGACTTGGTCCCGGAATTTCGGAAAACTTTCTCATGCAACGCGATGAATGGGCCATCATATACCACGAAAACCACCCACCCCGTTGAACCACTGAGCCACCCAACCACCAACGTCCAATTTGTAGTTCATTATCTGTCCCGCGGACCTGTCAAAGCCGTGCGCCAAATATGACAGAGCGTCTAATTGAGGGAGCGAAAAAGAGCGGGTCGGGGGATTCCCCGAAAACAGTTTTGACATTCGCATTTAATTTATTTTAATTGAAAAATGCCCGTAAAACGAATTAGCTTGTTGAATCCATTTGCGGGATCACACTTTCCCCAAAAAATCTACAATAAAATTTTATATATTTATGCCAAATATTTGAAAAATAATCAAGATTGCAGGATTTTTATAACACATTTTGCATATATATCCAAAAAAGAAGAAAAGCCTCCTAATATAGAGCTACTTTTTAAAATCTATTTTTGGTTTTTAAAGCAATTTAGCCTTTTGTACATATAAAAGTTTTTATTATTATTTATCTTTAAAATCTGTTTCTAAACTAAACGTTTTTTAAATTAAGTATTATTTTCCCTGTGCACCATGCAAATGAAAGCCAAGTTGAAAACTGTGGCTGAAGAACTTTTTCGCGCGAGTTCCTTATTAGGTCAAGTTGGTCTGACAGCTCGGCAATCCGCCGGAATCAAAGTCGGGCAAAAATCAGAGAAAGAGAGAGGGAGAGGGGGTAAACTATTTTTACAGCCTCACCGCCATCTCTATAACAAAGTATACAATTTTTACGATGATACATTAAATTAAAAACTTTTGGCCCAAAGTAGAGCAGAGTCCATTAGCTGGGCCAATCACACGAGGGCCCAAATGCAATGCAAGGCGGTAGCTTATTTATGAGCGAGATTAAAATTTTTTAAATGGAAAGTAATTCCCCAAGTGCGGCCATAAAACAAACTCGCCAGAACAACTCAAAAAAAACTTTTCCATCATCTCGTCCGAGGAATCGACATCTTGAGAGGAGGAGCAAGAAGTTCTTGTAGGTTTTAACGACTTTGCATTGGTTTTCATGGCCAAAGAAAAGCCGAAGGCTGCTGTCGAGTTGGCTTTTATGGTTGACACAACACATATTTGCCAGCATTCCAAGGCAATTGGCGACTCGCACATATCCGGAGATAGACATCAAATTCCCCATCCTAATTGTTGCGCCCCAAGATTTTATGGTACTTTGAGAGCCATTAATCCGAATTTGATATCTGCCTAATTAGTTTTCCCTGCTTGGCTTTTATGGCCGGCAGTCTCGTAAATTTTCATGATCGATTTGAGGGGCAAGGCGCGAAAAGAAAACTCTGCCCCGTCGATAAGGACCCCAACACATCGTTTCGAGTGTCGTTTTAATTGAATTTAATTAATAATCATTCTGCCCCCCAACAGATCTTCTTTTTTGGGCACTTTTTGTGTTAGTGGCATTGGTATCGAAGGTTAGTCTTTCCACATAGAACTGGATAACCAATTGAGGAATGTGCACGTTGACCACGCTGGCTTCGATCTGTTGCACGTCTGGGTGGTCCTTGAACTTGATGTTGAACATCGTACTGCCGTTTTCATTCTTGAAAACTGATAGTATTTCTTCCACCTGCAGTTCCAAGTTGAATAGATCGGTTTTCATAATCTGAAAGATATTATTAGATAAATTTATTAGATAGGTCTTAAGATTTAATGAATTATTTTAATTATTCACAGATCGTTGCAAAATACCTTTTCATTTCTTAGTTAATAGCAACATTTCTACCACCTAGATGGAGCATTTTGGCAACTCTGGCAACACTGGGTCATTGACTTTGAATCTCATCGTACGTGACGGTGCATTACCACTTTCGGTTCGTCCCCCTCCACCAATTCCCCTTCCTTTGCTTTCACGCCGTCAAACAATGGGAAATGCACTTTGATTGTTGTTGACCAACAAACAGGCACGCGTCCATCTCCGTGGAAAACAACGAAAAGTGGTAATGACCAGAAGAGCTGCTAATGTGGCTGCCACTTTGTTTGCACGTTTTCGCGTTTTGGGCCAAGGCTTTTTGCCACATTTTCTGTCCGTTCGGGAGGAAGCATTGTAGCAGAGGACCCAGCTGCTCCTGGAATGCCATACGATTCAGTCAAAGCATTGATATCTTCCTCAATCAACGAGGCAATCAATGGGGAAACTGGGGTAACCAAGGAGCCTCTTCTTTGCCATTAAATGAAGATAATAGGGGAAACGGATGGTCTTATTGTCAATCAGGAGAAAAATCGCATTCCAGGTTGATTTTATCGACGTGATGATATGGCAACTCACCTCTTCTATTATAAAGATCCAGTTCAGAGAAGGCGATGAAGTCTTAAGACATAGTTAACTCACCTTTGTAGCATATAACTAGAACCAGCTTAGAGGGGATGAAGTATTCAGCAGAGCCCGCAATTTCTTTCTCTTACAATGTTGCCTGTCGATAAATTGCCAAGGCAACGTGTTATCGATATTTGCTATTACATAATTGAGTATTTTTTGTAACATTGCAAACTTTTTGCTTCTGCTTTAATTACCAACTGTCGCACCTGAGGCCAATTAACGTGGAGAAGCAAAAAAAATAACACGAAGTGCCTGCAGAGGTAAAACATTTTAATTAATTGAATTGCGTATGTCATGCCGATAGGTCGATGTTTTAACACACAAACACACTCACACACACATGTAAATATTTCAATGACTTTAATTAACCAAAAACGTGGCAATTAATTGACTTTACCCGCTCAATTTAATTAATATTTGTTGTTGCCCATTTGCCAAAGGATGTGCAACATTTAGCCTGCAATTAGGTCAGCATTTTGCCCTCCAGGCATTAATCAAATTGTGCGGAGATTGCCTGGAAGGTTTGAGAATTTGACAAAATGATTGCCATTTTTCTGGCAGGGTAAACAGCTGTTTAAAGCAATTTTCCAGCACTGTTTTTCGAGGTTTTTCGCACATTTTCTTGTCTCTCGTTTTTTTTCGGGTAAGGAGGGGGCAGTGAAAACCGCTTAGGAAAGTGTCAGGCGAAATGAAATTCTTTATTTTAATAATGCAAGTTTGCACATTTTTAATTGTGCCGCCGACAGCTGCAAGAACTTGGCTGCTCACTTGACCCACAAAGGTGCGGCCACTGCAATTGTGGGTGAAAGTGCATGAGGGGATGGGTGGAAATGCGGGTGACGGTTGGCCAGGTAAGGCGACAAAAACCGCGCTTGCCATAAAGGGACGCTGCAAGGACATTACGACTAAATGTAAACAGCTTAATTAAAAAATAAAACTCCGCTCGGCACGTACAAGGAAAAACAGTGTGTACCCCACACTGAGAGAAGGGGAAAATCCCACATAACACCACCCACTTGGATGGGTGGGGGATTTTCCCCAGCATATGTGTGACGCGCTCTCTTTATTTGCTTAAATGCACAAAAGTGTTTTTAATTTAATTTTTCGTCTTTTCGCACACACTCTCTTGTGCTTTGCTCTTTGATGCAGCTCCTAATTAAAATGAAAGTAATTTTTCATCAGCAACTGGGGTAAAGTAAAATAATTTTCTTGCCACCCTCCCCCCTCGGCAGCAGCCGTTCAAGTGCTCATTAAAAATGTTTCAAACCAGTTGCAGTCTTAAATATACATATATATAGAACACTAAAAAATATGTGAAATGTTTGCTGAGTTTTTAGCGGGAAATTTGAAATTATTTGCTCGAGAGTCTGGCGCCAGCTTTTCTCTCCCCAATGTAGTCATCGCCGTCGTCGTCGTCGTCGTCAGCTGTTCAAGTGTTTTTCCAAGTCGAAACTTTTCTTTTAAATATTTTCCATACTTATCCCCAGTCATGTGCTGCAAAAGTTTTATGCATACGCATTAATGTGAAAAGTGTTGGGGGTGGGAGAGTAACCGGGAGATATTCCCTTTTGGAAAATGGTCCTCGGAAAATGCAAGTACCCTTACTTCACTGCATGCGTATGTGGAAAAAAGCCATTGGTGACGGTGGGTAATAATAAAGTTTTCACTCGATAACTTTGGTTTTAGGCTTTTAAATACATCTTAGTCACTTACTTAGTGAGGTGTTAATGATTTAAAAATGAAAAGGTGTGAGTTTAACTCACATAATAAACCGATTTAGTACAAAAAACCATTACAAAAACAATGTTTTCGGATTTCTAATTCTTGGATAATCCTATGATTTCCTTAAGTGCAAAGTTACCAAAAAAGTTTTAAAAATTGATTATATAACTGGTAAATTCTCATAAAGCTTAAGCTAAGTCGATAAATAGAAGTCAATGAGAATAAATCACATATGCTGATTGTTGCTTGGCTTAAATTTCCATTATCTCATTAATATATCACATTGTTATCCATAATAAATGGGAACTGCCCTCGCAGTGCAGTCAGCCATGGAGTGCATGTTTCCCCAATTTGCATGCCAAATTGTTTACTTCTCTCATTTCAATGTGCTTTATCAATTTGAATTTGAGTTGAGTTGCATGTTTGGGTTCTCTTAGAAGAAAGCCAGGCATGTGAATTAGTTTTCCAAATGAAATTTCCGCAAGAAACCATGAAAAATTGCTGCAGATTTCGCGGGATAAGGCAACAATTTGATTTAGCGAGTTGACTGCACTGGAATGTCATGCATAAAGTTTCGTTGCTCTCTTCATTGGCGCACACACAACTGGGTTTCCCCCAAACAAATCCACCAGCCCAACCACCACCCACTTGGAAACCTTTTGCCATCCACCCATCCGTAGCACCTGGAACACCTGAAACACCGTTCTTCCAAATGGCGCTATCAAAGCCGGCGAATGTCTATTTAATTGTGTCTGCTACGGTGTCGGCATGTCGATGTTTGGACGCCGCCCACTCCTCCTGATGGGCGGTGGTTTGTTTGTCGGGTGGCAGCATCAAATGCACTTTAGCCCAGGGTCCCGTTAACTGACACGACATACTGATGACCAGTGATGCAATCTGCTGGTTACTACTTTTATATTTCTAGCTAAAGAAGATAGAATGCCAAGACATATTTTTTATTATTTTTATTATTATTTATTATTTATTATTATTAACTTTAAGTAAACATTTAGCTTTTGGTACTTTATATTTTATTAATATGTTTTTATAACATTTTTAGAAAAGACGTCTGTTTTTCATAAATTATGTTCTGCATTAATACTATTTAGCTTCTCATCAGATATACTTTTCGGTATTTAATTACGATATTACAGAAAATCGAACTGAACTGGTTCGATAAGCACACATTATCGGTATACAAATGTTTAATTGCACTGTAATTGCCTTTAATTATTCAACTTAATCCATTTCTTATGTATATTTTTTTGAGCACACTTTTCATTTGTGGCAATCATTAACCCTGCCGTGCCTTATAATTAGAATTAGATACATTTTTATATCATATTTAAAAACAAAATCTAGCTAGAAAAATGCCAAGTGGATGACACCTTTGCAAAGCTTTGGTGGGTTTTCGCTTGAAGTCGCAGGTGTTGCAACTGAGAGTCTGCGGTGTGGTTGCCACACCTGCAATTTGAGTCGCTTGTACACATACACATACATAGAGACAACGAGTGTATGAGTGGGTGGTTGGAAAATTGGGTTCTGTGTGTGGGTGGCAAATGAAGTCATAAAGTCTGATTTCGCCTGTTCATGCTCATTATCACGTAGCGATATCGTGTAATCGTCATGCTCACGATAATGATGATGTTAACCAAGTGGATCGTTGTATACCCTTCTCTTTTTTTTTTCATTTTCTCTATCTCTTTCCCTCTGGCGGAATCTTTCCCATTTATTTTCCTGCATCTGCGCTGCGCTGCTGGTAAACTTTCTGACCAAAACTGACACATTCATGAAACAATTTAAAAAGTCATTGTCATTGCAGGATATAGTAGTTCCCATCTCCTTGTGGCTCCTTTTTTAACTGTCCTGTCAATGGCACCGTCATTTGTTTTGTTGCCCATTACGGTCAGTGTCCCGAGTTGGAAAACAAAATTGTCATTGCTCCCAGCAAGTGCTCCTCGGGTGAGCAGCTTTACTCCAATTGCAGCTGAAGTATGTGCCAAGCCATCCGTTCCACCAAGTAGTCAGTGTCCTATGTAGGGCATGGGATCCTAATGGTATATCCGGTTGGTCAAGGAGTTTAAGTCCTTGCTCTTCTACTTTCGTTGGTAGGGTGTCCTTTTGGTCGTGGCCTTCCTATCCTGGCCAAGTTTGGTTCGCCTTGTGAAACTTTTTTAACTATGTTTGTTGGTGCCTTTGTTTTTCGTCGCCAACGTGACAGAGCAATTTCGGAAATAATTTCAAGTCTTCAAGCTAAAAGGTCCTCAGTGAAGGTTTTACTGGCTAGACGGGTAAAGGTAATAGTGAATATATATTTTATGTAATCCATATATATGTTTATTATCCATGAACGTAAGATTATGTTAGTTAAAGTTAATCTACAAAAATTTGAAAACCATTAAAAACGGATTTACTTCAGCTGAATGCTCGCCAAGGGATTTGCCAAGGAATACCAACACTTTTGATTAAGGGACAATAACCTTGCAGCAAATGTTGCAGAAATTCATTATTGCATCGTAATGATGAAAGGGCCAAAATAAAGGGATGGCAATGGCTCCCAACAGTGTAATTTGCGCGAGCCAAAGCCACAGGATTTTATTGAGCGGAAAATTAAAAGCATAAAATTGCACGCTTTAAATTTGAGTGCAGCGGGAAAGTGAAAAGTGGCAAGTGGCAAGTGGCAAGTGGCGAAGTGGCACCAACAGAAGCCGCACCCGCAAAGTGTCGGAGTATATCGCGCCAAGTCGGACTCTAAGATTACCACAGAGAAGAATGAGGGTTTTCCAAGCCATTTTCCCAGTACCCACCCCAACACCCATTGCCTCAAGTTTTCCCACCCATCCCTAGATGCAACCTGCAATCTGTGGTTTTTGGACTCACGCGCATACTAAATTCAACTTATTGACAGGCTTGCAGTGGAACGTGTTCCGATAAGCGACCAGGTGAGTGAGTTGCACCTGTAGCAACTCCCTTTGTGCAGCTCGCCTTTCCTCTTCTAGAAGATTTCCCGAGTGAGAAATATGGCAATGTCGGCATTACTTGGCCCATGAATCTTGCCAACGACAGGGGGACAAATGCTAATTACAAATTTATGACAATTTTTGTGTGGGAAAATGTGGCAGGTTCGTTATCAGGTTTTTCTACATGCAACTAAGTTGTAAATTCTGGGGAAATTAAATCATGTTCCTATTAGATTTATAAGTTAATTTGCAGATATATGTATATATATATATATGTATATAAAGAATCGGGGTTTTCACCCGTCGGTTTTGATGCTAGGGTTCATTAGTCTCTTTGTAGAAATAGAAACGTGTTCTGTTGAGTTTGCTCCCCGTTAATTTGCTCTCTCTTAATTTTTTGTGACGAGTAGCAGCTACGCAATTCGCCTGCATCACTATAGTCATCGCACTTACTCTCACTTTGTCAAGGGACCATGTACAGCAATACAACCTTGTACACTTACCCTTTACATCTCGTTAAAATACTCTGTTCGTACTCGTATGAGCATAACATGAGAGATCGAACTGTGAAATTACTAGGATCGAGAGACATACAACGGCCGTTACATTCAAATAAAATCATCGTGTCACGTTGTTATATCAATTTATATTAATTTAAAAAAGCAAAGGATATCCAAAAATAAACACTGCCTTTAGCCGAGGGTTCTCAATATAAAAAGATGTATGTTTCCCATTACATTATTTGTATTTATGATAATCTGATCATAATTTTTATTACATTTTGTGTTAAATTTTGTTTGATTTTTTTTTTGAGGGTTTTTTGACCCAATAATTTACAATACCATATACCAGAATATTACAGCACAAAGAATCTGCTCCAAGTATATGACTTAATACTATGACTTGAATGCTAAACCCATGTTATTCAAAGCTGCGGCCCATCCTGGGCATAACCGGAGGCATCCACTCGACGAACTGGGGAATATCGAACAGTGGATGATCATTGAGGATATCGAAGCGAACCACCTTGTACGTGGAGATGAGCCAGTGACCCATGCAGCGACTGTTGCCCCGAACATTGCCCATTCTCGTGGGTTTGACGGAATAGTCGCGCCGGAAGCGCATAAAGATCTCGGCGAAGATCAGGGGGTGCGGCACTCTTAACTGCGTGGGATCCACGTACTTCTTCAACAGCTGAGTCATCTCATTGAGCTCCGCCGGCGACTTGAAGTCATTGGATCGCCGCAGAGCCACAAAGACTACATCCAGGAAAGCGAAACGATGATCGTAGTGCCACAGCAGCTGAACCTTCAGGGGAATGGCTCTCCGGAAGTGATGCTTCTCGAAGCGCATCATAGTGAGCCTCCAGTCGAGTGGATCCTCTAACAGATCGTTCTTCACCTGCTGAAAGCCCATGGGCGTACTGCATCGCTCCACATTGCGGTTCCGGCGACGTCTTACAAAGTCCGTGAAAACGGCGGCCGCCTCACAAGAATTCTCTAGAAAATTGCGCTCGGAGAAGTCCCAATCCCACATAAGCTTAAGCCGGAGCAGAGAAAGCTTGGTGTAAAGACGACTCAGCGGACTGTAGAAGTACATCATCACGGGCAGAGATACTTGGTGGGGCTCATCTTTGGTCATAAATAACTCTAGCTCGATACCCAGGGCCTTAACGGGATTACCTTTTTTCTGGGTTACATCCCTCCGAGGACCCTGAAAGCTATTGCGCACCTGGAGGGGAGCATTCAAATAATGCCTCAATGGGGTTCTGGTCCGCCTGGGGACCCGCATCGATCGCTGCAGCACATGACCGTAGCAGGAGCACTTGTTTAACAGCAACCGGTGTATCCTCATCATTCCATAGTTTAATTTGGTTAGAATTTTGTCAAAAGAGGAAGCCGGAATATTCAAACTGAACGAAACTCATATGTGTGTGTTAGCACTTGGCATTGAACGCCTGGAGTGGGGATTGAATGATAGACGCTGGCCACTTCAATTAACCCCGCATTCGGTAAGGCTACACGGGGGAAAACTTGAGTGTTACATCAACTAAAAGGCTTTTGTGATCTTATAATTCCCAACTGGTTTTTCAGAACAGCAGATATTTATTTATACTGATAAGCAAAGAGGTTAAGAGTCTATAACTAAAGAATTTCTTAATTTCGGTTTGATAATGTTAAGACTATAGTGGCCATTTTCTCAGTGCCAATTCTCATGTTGGCAAAACAACAATAAGATCCTAATTGAGCCGACATAGAAGGGAATACAATCCGCACGAGACCGGGAGCAAGACTGTACGTCCTTCGATGGATTCCCGCAGGAGAGGTGCCGCCATTGATGCAGCAGCATGCAATTATCGAATGCATTAGCAAATGCAGAGTGCCCAGCACATGAAGCTTCCATTTACCTTTAGCCGCCTTCGCCCTTTTGACCCACCTACGCCCACCCGCATTTGTTTGCCCAGGCGTTCATTTATTCCGGCCTGGGAGAAGGAAAACAAACAATGGAAAACAGGGAGACAAGGCAGACACGCCCAGTTGGCGTATCGAATGGCCCACTCGCCCACCGACTTCTACATCGGGTTAATTGCTCAACAATTGATTTCGAATCGAGAGTGCCGCCTGCAAAATATGCAAATGTTTTCGGGATAATTAAATGAAAGTCTATTACAGAGGCAACTCAGGAATTATTAGTGGAAACAAGGAATTGGCAAATTTGCAAGAAGTACAGTTGCCTCAAAACATTTTGGGCGTGCCTGTTCATGTCAATAATGCTAATAAGCTACTTATTAAATATTAAGGAAGCCAACAATGGTGATTATACAGCCTTTAGTCATTATTTGAGGGGTTAATAGTGTAAACATTGATGCAAAAACAGGTGTTAAGTGGAATTGTTTTGGTGCAACTTTCATGGCTTTTAGAAACTTAAAAAACTCAAACTGCCGTGATTGTTGAATGCAAAAATATTGCAAAAAAAGTATTTATAAATATACTTCATAAAACTTGAATGTTCTTTATTCAATTATTAAACAAAGGGACACATGAATAATGTTATGAATCCTTTGAAAAGTACAGCTGCCTCGATGAGTATGCAAATCCTCGGCAAAACCGTTTCAGTTTGATGCCTACGAAGGCTTTAACTAATTCAGAAGACAGAAATGCCCGCCCATCCATGTTTGATGCCGTAGATTTATCAAACGAAATATGAAATGAACGAAATGGAATCAACCTGCGACAATAGAGTTGGAGTATGAATAAATGCGAGGATTTCGGGGCACACACGGCGGATGGAGATGATATTCCGGAGCATTTGGGCACACAAAATCCCCGTGTAATCCCCGGCAAAATACAGAGAGAGAGAGAGGCAAAGCCAAACAGAGAGAAGTATCGCAATAAAATATGTTAAGTAAATACGATATGGGGGGGAGGTTGAGGGCTGGGTAGTAGGAAACTAAACAATAAGCCAAAAAGTACGCTTGATTAAGTTTAACTTCCGGTCTGTTATAAATTGAGCATTTATGTGGGATTTGTTTGCGAAAACAGTTTCTACTTTGTTGGCCCAGGCCCGTCGAATGTCAGGTTTACTCTGGAAAAAAAAATCTATGCCATCCATCCATCGGCTTGCCAAACGAGACAAATGCTTAGGCCAACAGCCGCACACACACACACACACACACACTACCGTATGTCTATTTCCGGCGGAAGTGGTGAATAAAACATGAAACGAAATAAAATGACGGCCCCGAGGCAGAGGTAGAAATGGGAACTTTTAGTGGCCAAAAGTGAACATCCGTTCGCCGAGGCAAGGGATTTCGCCATGATGCTGAGTTTTGTTGTTGAATTTTGTTTTGTTTACTTGGGCGCAAATGGCTAAATTATTCCTGAACCAGCCAATCGAAGGGTCAAATAAAAATTAAATGGCAAACATTTTATCGAGCATTGAGTCGGATAGAGAGAGAGAGTGTGTCCTGAGAACTGTGGCTGCATCTCTGGCACTTAATATCCGTAAGATAAAATATTCAATTTCCCCCGATGACAAACTTAGGAAATAACCAACCGAATGAGAGACAGCAGAGACTCACCTGCTTGATAACGACGATATGGAAATTCGAATGTCTGCATTCATCTGCTAGTATTGAAATTATCTTATCAGAAGTTTCAACTTGGCCAATGAACATCTTAGGAAGGCAATTGAGTTGGCAAACTGAATATTATAATCATTCGGTCGTTAAAATCCCAATTATCATTATTGCCCCTGCCTGTGGCAGTCAAGCGGACAAGAGACACCATAAGCTGCAATTCAGGACCCAAATCCATTTCAGAGAGTGCTTCATTAACGATCTGTGGCTTCGTCGACCGCAAATTATTCTACCAGGATTTGCACTTTTGGTCATTTCGTAAAAGGGCTCTGCAACTAATTTCCTTAGAGAGGCTTTCCGCAGGCTATAAAGTTTCAAATGGCCAAAAGCATCTACGAGTATAGATGTATGCAGGTTAGGCTAAAGAATTTGTTGGTTTTTAATCCTCAGAATAATATGGTATGGAATACGCTTTCAATTTCCAATTTGTAAATTGGGGACTCTTTATTTTTATATATTGTTACCTAGCTAAGAATATTTTATTGATTTTCTGTTAATGTGCTTATAGTTATGGATAAATACAGACACCTTCCTGCTCAATGACAATAATAACCGATACACTGACTGCCAAAACCGTAAATGGGATCACACTGTCTTGTGCTGGAGGGACAGGAACAGCACGGATCGCAAAAGTTAGGCCCTGAACAGGGACATTGGATGATATTGCAGGCCGGTCTGCACTTTGGAGGATTGGCAAATCTGCAGACCAAATCATTTGGAGGATAACCTGTCTTAACTTCCAGTTTGGGTGGAGCTCGGATTTTTGGTTTCTTCGCTTCCGGTTTTTCACGTTTCTTCTTTAAAAGCAACTGGGAAACTCGACTCTCGAAGATCCCCGTCACGTTTGTTGGCGACTCCCTGGCATTGGGCCGTTTCTTCCTAGCCACCCGTCTATTGGTGACCCTTACGTGAACTGTACTCACATCGGATGGAATTTTCGATCGAGCTATTGTAGGTTTCTCTTCTTCCATTTCTTCTTCATTTTCTTCTTCGGTAGTTGGGTTACTACTTAACATGACAAAAGGTTCACTGGAAAAAAATGAATATCATGATCCGAATAAAATTTGTGAAAATAAATGTAAGAGAATGAACAGGTAATAGGTTTTCCTTGAAACAGTAAATAAGTTTACGGAAAACTCTTTTCTTTATAGTTCATTCTCCGTTGCTATCTTAAATCGCCGAAAGCCCTACCTTACATTATCGTCTTTCTCCTCCTTCTCCTTCACTGAAACATTCTCTTTTGAGTTTGGTTCACTGACTTCTGGAGAAGAGAAATCCTTGCCGGATTTTGGACTGGAAACTGGCTTCGCGGGTTCACTGACTTCCTTAGGTGAATCGTTGCCGGACTTTGGACTGGAAACTGGCTTCGGGGATTCACTGACTTCTTTAGGTGAATCGTTGCCAGACTTTGGACTGGAAACTGGCTTCGGAGGCTTGGGTGAAGAGGAAATGGGCGATCGGGACTTCGATAGGCGGGGCTTGGGTGTACGCATCTTTGATATGGAGGAAATCGGTGAGTCCGCTTTGGATTTAGGCTGCTCAACCAGCTCCTCCACCGTCGCCTTCCCTTCGGGCTCGTCAGCGTGGCGCTCGTATGTCTGATATTGGTTGTAGATCATCTCTTCTGTGCCAGATTGAGAACCGGATACGGGGACTTCCGCCATAAAGGACTCCACAATTGGATACAACTCTGATATGCGCATGAGTCGGGCTGGAGTTTCTGCCATTTTCGGTTCTTCTCTTAAAGCATTATCTTCCTGATTCTTCTCCTTGGGTTGTTTCTTTCGTGCCGGATCTTCGATGTTAGGGATATGGGCTACCGACTCATATTTCTCGATTATAGTCTCCTTTTGGCCGGTACGATGCGTCACCTCTGCCTCCTTTGTGATCACTTCTGTGACGAAGACTTCGGACGCACTGGAATCTCTTTGTGACTCGTCATCCCCAGAACTTTCCTGATCCGTCTTGACCTCACACTCAAACTCATCCGTTTGGACGCCCATTTCATGGGTTACACAGTAACAGCACCTTCTATTGTTCACATTTTTTTCAAAGCAATTATTGTTCTCGAAAGCACCGGGGAACATTTTTGGAGGAGGTTGCTGGCCACAGCTTTGTAAAGGAAGCCGAAAGTAGCATTTCCTAACAGATCGCTGTGGCATCTGCTGGGGTGATCCCTGGGAAAATTGCTGGGAAAATTGCTGGGAACACTGCTGGCAAGCTTTCTGGGGAACTTGCCTCATAGCTTGCTGCCCATAGATACAGTTTTGAGATGACCGGAAGTTTTGGTTCCAATTTGAAGGACATTCCTGTGGAAGTTTTTGAGGATTTCCTTGATTGAAATTCTGAAAAACTTGCACAGGATCAGGTGAATTCTGCCAGAAAGCTCTCTGGCATCCTTCAGCCTGAACCCTTAGATTACATGACTGTTGTGCACCCTGCGGCATGCCACCCATGTTGCCACAACTTGCCGGTTGGCTGGGCATTCGCATTTCATATCGGCAACGTGGACACTGGCAGGATTCACCCATCGATCTACAGTCCTGCATCCTGATAGCCAGAAACTAAACGGAAGCCACAATTGAGAGCTTATCACTAAATCAGGACTGAACATCGATTAACGAGGAGTTTTACATTAATTTTATGTTATACATCGAAATGGTTGATTTTTGGTGGAGTTTGTTAGGTTCAAGGCATGCTTAGGGACTACGAAAAAGTGTGTGAAATCTTTAAATATTTCTAGAAGGATATTTCTATATTAGATACAAGGATTTATGATCCCAAGAGAGGTTAAGATTATGCTTAGAAAAGAGATTTAGATTAAAGGCAAAAAATAATTTTCAAACTCCAAGAAGTTGGTTAAATATTGAATCATAAGAACCCTTGACTTTAGTTTCCTATTTATCAAATCATTCTAAATACAATTTTTTACCCCACACGTTCTGAATCCGAACTTCCAGTTTTAAAACAGTTTTTTTTATAAAAAAAACACAAATTTTTGAGTACGAAATTTGGACACAGATTAAATCGCGATGAGTTTCCAGAAGAAGTTAAATGAGTTCAAACTCAAGTTGGACTTGGCCAATTGGTATATGGGCGTATCCACGCACCAGGAGGCCGCTATGTACTCCATGACGGAGTGCATCCGTGATGACTATGAGCAGGGCACGGGTGAAAAGATGTACAAAGCCCTGACAGCCCTAGGACTTCAGCCGGTTTTATCCAAAAAGAAGGTCAGCCGGATGGTCCAGCTGAGCAGGAACAATATACTGGCCTTCCTGTTCTTCGTGCTTGAAGGTTACTACAAGACGAGTCGGAAGGATGGCATCTACGGCATTAACGAACAGTTGCTAATGAATGCCATAGCCAAGATCGATTTGTTGGCCACTATTCGAGCTCTGGACATTATACTCCCGCCGCCCCAGACCAAAAAGCCGCAGACAAAAGTTAAATCCTCACCAGTGGAGCGTCCTGCCAAGAAACCATCAAAGAAATCGCCTTACTTCCAAAAGCAACCGAGACCCGTTCAGAGAACCTCACAATTGACCACCAAGCTTCCGGATTTTGTGGTGTCCTTCAACTTCTGGCCCAATAATGGACCACCCATCTATGGCAAGGACGATGAAGAGCCTTGGTATGCCCTGTATCGCTTGAATCCCGGCCAGCGTCTGATCAAGAAAACTCTCTCCGAGACCCTGGAGCGATATTTTAAGCTAGGTGCCGTGGAGGGAAAACAGAAGGAGGACGAGGACAAGCCCAAGAGTCGGGAACCCGAGGCCAATATGTGTCTGATTCACAAGGGGCAGGTCGTGCAGGCCCAGTTGTTAAGAGATGAACTGGCGGTCAAGGCGAGGGACCGATGCTTGGAACTGCTGGATATTACAGAACCGTATGCGAAAATTCGAAAGGCAAGGATTCTGTCCCAGTTGGAGCATGACATCGACATAATCATGGAGAGACATCGCAATGCAATGCACTGCGACCAGACCAAAGTGTTGACCATCGAGAATTTCGATTGTGTACTCTGCCAGAAGATGTTGGTATCACAGCCGTGGCCAGAAGACAAGGATCAAATCAGCCGGGCTCTGGTGGGTGAGGATTGCACCATCGGTCACACGGCTGCATATGATACCTACCACGGCAAGAGGCTCGAGGGCGGAGGTGGCAAGCCGGTGAGTGAGGAAGCTAGCTTATATGAAACCCAATTAAAATCTCAAATTTACTTTTACAGAAAAAGGACAAAAAGGACAAAAAGGGCAAAAAGGGTAAAAAGAAACCCGTAGAAGAACCTCCGCCGGAACCTCCGGTGGAAGAGCCCAAGAAGGTATCGAAATGGAAGCCACCACCTCGCAAGCTCGTGAACACTGCTTTCCGCATGCAAGCCGTCGACTTCACAGAGAAATCTCAGTTGACTAACCAAGAACTCGACCTCCCGGAATGCGGAGTTCCTCTAGTACCCAAAAAGACGGGCGTATCATTTCATTTGGCCAAGAGGAAAGTCAATTCAAAGGCTCATCAGTGCGAAATTCGCTTGCCCAGCAAGAGGACCAAAAAGATGTTCTTTTCAAGGCCCCGACCCAATAAGCCCTTTTTGTTCAAGTACCATCGGGTCTTTCAATCCGGCCAGCCGAAACCCTTTGACCTGAAGAAGATCGTGACCAAGTCGTTCGTGAAAGCGCTGGATAAAGAGGACGAAGTGGATGAAAATAATCCTTGTGACTTCGATTGCCTCGTGTCGGAGATGACGATTGAGCAGGAGGAGCCGCGGGACGAAAATGCCGAAGGTCTGAAGGCAGTGATCGCGAATAATGCGATTGACAAGACAGTGAAGGAAAAGAAAGTGGTTGAAGAAAATGAGATACCCTTCGATCTCTTCAGCGAGCTGGATCACACTGATAGTCAGGATACCTTGGATCGTTCGAGTAACCACAGTTGTCGAAGCCACATAAATTACAAGGCAGAGATCGTGGAGGCGGTGCTGCGTTGTGTCAAAGCCATTTGGGAGAAGCAGACCACCATCAAGAGGGCCGAGATGGAGCGAAAGGAACGGCTGACCCAGCGGAAGGCACTGACTTACGAGGATACCGAAAAGTTTGATCCCGACAATGATGAGCAGATGAACAAGTTGCTTAAAGATGGAATGCGGGAACTTAGGAAGGAACCACGCTATGTGCTTGCCACCCTGCCGGATGCCCACAAGTTGCCCGTGCTGCGGGAATGGGTAAAGAGGCGTTACGGCAAGACCTACAGCCAACAGGAGCTCGAGGAGAGCATTACCGAGGCAAGCCGGATATTCGAGCTGGTCACCCTTTTGCAGAGCCAACCTCCTGATCCGGATCTTATGGGCATAGATCGTTTGTCCCGATCCCAAGAAAACTTTAGCAACTACAAGCAGATCAAGGAAAAGGTGAGTTATAACTATGCTTCTATAACTTCTAGTGTTGAAAACCCCATTTTCCTTTCCATTTCCTAGTCTGCCTTGGTGAAGCGAACCTTCCATGATCTGTTGAACACTCGTTACCTGGACATCATGAGCTCCGCCTGGTATGCCATGGGAAATTATCTGGTGCCCGGAGGACCTCCTCGCCGGACTTTCTTCGCCTACATAGCCTCCAATCCACAGGAGATCATGCGAGCCAAGGTGTGGAATGGAGAGTACCGAAACTATCGGGCCATGCGCGAGAAGAGGAAGGAGCAGGAAAGGCTTTTGGGCAAGATCAATTAGAGAAAAAATAAAACAGTTTTCACATTCGAATATTTAGATGTATTTGGGTTTGGTGCGCGGCATCCTTTTGCCCGTGATTCCCTTGCTGACCAAATACTCCAGGATGGAGCGCTTGGTTTGCACCTTCAACTGGCAGATGTCGAACTCCAACTCCTTCTTCCAGTAGTTGGCTCCCTCCATCCTTTGGATCAAATGGATTACGTGGAGCAGCACTTCGCCATCCAACTGCTGGATCTTGGCATGCAGATCGAGATCTTCTTCGGTGGTAAATGGCGTCTCCTCCATCTGAGTCCCCGAGTAGACTGGTGCAGTCCACTGCTTAGGATTTCCTCCCATTAAAGAGGAAACCTCTGTACCGCTCTGTTCTGTATCCTCCGATGATGAATCCGATTCGTCTGACTCATCCGATGAACTAGATGAACCAGATGAGCTGGATGAACTGTCATCCTCTGCATTCATTCCAACTAAATTGGATACATATACCTGAACCTGGGCGTACATTTTCTCGAAGATGATCTGCAGCTTTTTGGCCATCTCATAGCACAGGTGACCGGGATTGGTATAGAGATAGGTATTGTAGAAAATCAGCCGCACATCCTTGGCAAAATCCGCAGCAGTCTGATAACAGCCCCTGTTCGCGCGATACCTGACGGTAGATAGATCCATGGGTTCCTTGACAACCTCATGGTAATCGTACAGGCCCAAGAGCTGGGCATCCAATGGTTCATAGAAGACCCAGGCTATGTTCTTATAGGAACTGGAGAACAACCTCTTGATGATGGCCTTGCAGGCTATAATTTCCGGCGAACATCGTTCGCCCTCTTGTTTGCCAGACATTCTAGGGAAATGCGATGGAAAACTCTATAAAAATTAATATTTTTCCCCTTGACACTCGAGACTTCCAGCTTGATAGGGATGCCAAAGACCCAAAACATTTGTCAGCAAAGTTGTCATCTTTCATACTTAGGGTTGCCCTGCTTTTTATTTTTAGTATTTTTAGTTAACAGAAACATGTGGGATTGCCACCTCAAACAGGGTAGAAAAGTCAATCCACAATTGCGGTCAGAACGGCAAACAAGTTCAGTTAATTATGCAAGTGGCTCTCTACAGAGATTTATTTTAATACATTTTGTGTGGGCGCCTTTAGTCCTTTGGGTTAGTTAATCCAATTCCAGGACTCAAACAAACAGTCCCTTTTTTTCGGCGACAAACATTGAAGAGATATTGTAGACCCAAAAATATTTATGGTCAAGCGCTGATGTCGGCTATTTTTGTAGGGAAAGCTTTGTTAGGAAAAACAACATACATCATTTTTGGGCAAATATTTGCAGGCTTTTCATTTGGACAGTCAACAAGTTGGGATTTTTGAAACTCGAATGGAAATCCTGCTTAAAGAGTTTGCTGTTAAATTGGTTTCCACAGGCTGGAGGGGAAATCCTTTGGTTCTCTCCTGCTGTTAGCTTGCAATCCACAAGTGAGAGTAAGCCACAATTCTCTCCCACTGTTAACTTACCTACCACAAATTGGGCGGCAATCGCGGTAAGTCTTGGCCTTATCTTTGCGGGACCTCTTCAGTCTGCTGTTGGGAGTTTAAGGGCATGGTCTTGGGAGTGGGTCTATTCCCAGTGGCATGGATTCACGCTGATTACACCTTACTGACCCACTTGCCAGTGGCAGGCCATCTTGCGGTCTTTGCTAGTTGACCTTTGGCCCACGCACTCTACCTTAATTTATCTTAATTGCGATTTCTGTGGATAAAGTTGAGAAATAGATGGAACTATCATAAGTATATGGCGGTAGTTTCTGCTACTTCGGGATAATCTTTTCAAAGTTCAAGGCTTTAATATAATTTCTTAGTTTTCTTATTACTAACAAAGACTTCACCACAATATTAAAAATAATTTTATCTATATAAACCCATCATATCTTTGAGCACCTCTTCACCGTAAGATTCCTTTTGATCTCGTCGATACGTCAAGTGCTGTCTGAGATTCATTGGGAAAGTCATGCAAAATATTTCCCTTTCTATCGCCGATTTCTAGGTAAAAATCTTCTTTTATTTTTCGCACAAGTAAAACTGCGACACTCAATCACTGGGCAGATGAAATTATACACCCAGGGTCTGGGGGGCAGGTGCTAAAAGGATCGCCGTGGGGATGGGCAGAAAAAAAACGTGTGAGCCTGTCAGAGACAGTCGGACCCCTTATCCCTCATCCCAGTCCGTGTATCCCTACCTGGCCATCCCGCATCCCATTGGAACCAGGAATATATATGTATATATGGATAAATATAAGAAAAAGCGGCAATATGAAAGCCCTGCTGGCCTGAAAAAAAAAGGGAAAAGATGTACCAGCATCGGAGAACTCGGAGGAGATATGAGAAATGTACATTTGGACAGGCTACACAGGCTACACACACACACACAGTGCAAGGGAGTGCAAGAGAGAGACGGGGCGTTTTGAGCGAAAGAGATGGGACTAGCCAGTCAGATGTCAAACATTCTTTTGACACTTTGTCATAGCATCTCTCGGTGACACTTGTCAGCAGTCGGATTTCGCATTTCGGTGGAATGGCTGTGAGCCGCAGTTGATTTATACTGTATATCTGTATATATCCCTATATCTATCCTATATGCTTGTGCCTTAATAACGCTTACTTATAAATCTTCTGATTTCAATTTTGCTAATGCATCAACTGGTCTGCAAGTAAACAATTCTTTAACTTTTCCGTCTGACAAGCTACCTGTGGATTATTTATATCTCAGACAGGGGGAGGTTAACTTCTTAAAAAAGAATGTTTAATTTAAGCAACTTGTAATATAAAAAGAAATCTTAATTTTCATCTCTTTAATGTGTTTATAGTAGATAAACCATCGCAGACATCCAACTTGCTTGCTCAAATAAGAGTAAAAGTTAAATTACATTAAGCTGCACTTTGTTATAGCAAATATTTGCCTTACAGAAATAGAGAAGTTCAATTTAAGATTTAAAATACTGTATTTTATGATTGTGAAGTCGATGAAGGTATTACATTTTAAGTTTATGGCAAACAATTTGATTTAAGTTTTTAATTTAAAGACTGGACTTCATTCCCCAAAACTTAGTATTAAGATGCTGCTCCGTATATGACCACTTGAGACTTGATATCAGCAAACCGAGCTGAGGTGAACTTAATCGTGACCGTGGTAGAGCCCACTCCACCGGCAGTAATTTCCGCCGTAGCGCCTCGCTTTTTCTTTAGATCCGTGATCTTGATGTAGGATATAGTCTTGGCAGTTCCAGCTTGCGTTAGGGTATACGTTTTCGTTGTAGTACCCATACTTTTTGATTTTGTTATCGTTTCACTAGCTATTAGTGTGTCGGTTGATGCCTGGGTTCCATAGGTATAGTCATTTCCTTCGTCACTACCGAAATTAGCGTCAATCAGGCAGATGTTGGTGCCGACTAGCAGGAGGAAAACGCCAAGGAGATACATTCTGAAAGGTTGTTTTTTGTCGAAGAGATGAAAGCTAACTGTTGGCTAAGACAATGCAGCGTTTGGTTTTTATAGGGCCAACTGGAGTTGTAAATTCGTGTAACCTAGCTGATGGCCTACATCGATAAAGGGGCAGATAGAGAGGTGTCTGTAACACCTGCGCAGACATATCTTCAACACGTCACCTTCTATCTTGCCGCACAATGAAAATCAAAACAATGTTTAGGAAAATCAAGTTCCTCGACTACGGAATACCCGCGGTTTTCATCTCTTACAAGTTTTGGGTAAGAAAACTATTCCCTAACTTCCTAACTTAGATCGTTTTTAAGTTCTATGATTTCCGTTTATAAAAGGGAATTACTTACTAATAAGATGTTTTAGATCTTTGATGCTGATTTATCGCTATAAATTACCTACCTATGGATAAACACTATATACCTTTTAAGGTCTAAGAAGAAAGAATGGGAAAACAAAACAGGTTTGTTGCATCAAAGCTCATCAATTATGTAGAAAGTGAAATTTTCTTTGACTTGTTTATCAGTTCGTTTGATAGCCTCTGATTAAGTTGCATAGAACCATTTGATCGACTTCTTTCACTTTCGACTAATTCATGGGAAGGTGCGATTCAAGGTTTTCTTATTAGCTAAAAACTTAAAGTCGTTTATGTTAATGGTAAGTTTGATAGATTTATATTTGATTTGACTGTTTGGTTTACCATCTTGTCCCAAACAGATTGAATCTTTTTATGGCTCAAACTCAATCTTTAAAGTCAAACCAAGTAAAAGAAGTAAATGATAAAAATGTGGCAACAGCCAAGCATTACAACACGATTCTGATACAACTTGTATTGCCAAACCTTAAAGTAGTTTCAGGTACCTACAAGAAGTTAATTAAAGAACCTTCGATAATGAGATGTTGGTTGCAAAACTTATAAAGTGCTTCCATGGGAAAAAGTTAAATCTTGAAGTACTAGCGGAGAGATAGACGTGGCTAAATCAACTTGGCTATTAATGCTGATTTAAAATATATTAAGTTAAACTGAGATAGCTGTACCAAAATACTGTTTACTTTAGGATTAAGACAAGAAATGAATAAACATAAAAATCTACTGAAATTATTCCAAGCTGTGTTTTCCGCTTCTTTTAGAGTGATTTTATTAAAATTCAGTTTGGATTTTTAATAATCTTTATTTATAGTTTTTATAAATTAATATTAATATGACAAAAGGTTTTCCTTATTTATTTCATTTACTTTCATAAAATTTTCCCTTAAATGCAGAGAACACTTCAGGGCCACCTACCTTGAGCTTTAAAAATTACCCACAAAAATATGATAATTAGGTCCTTGGCAACTTTTCCTTTCTGTTTCCTGGAAAAACTGCTTTAGGATTTTCCAAAGCTTGAACAAACTCAATTTGCGCCCCGAAACGAACGAACAGTTTTGCTATTTAACTAGCAAGTTGACGGCCATTTATCAGGGAATCTAATCTAATCCTTTTATTTGGTCAAATAAATTAAAATGGAAAGCCTTTTTCGGCAGCCAGGCCACTAAATTACACCAAAGATAATTAACCTGTAAGGTGGGAGTGCTGCAGATTTCGCGGAGTACGGGAAAGTTGGAGTCCCGATGGTTTTTGCGGGCACTTTATTAGGTCTTCGACCCGAAATCAGCGGAAGCGAAAACGACGGAGGAGCATCGCCAAGGAGCAAGGAGGCTAAAGGAGCCAAAGGAGGCAACTGAAATTACAAAATGGCGCAAATTATTGCGGGACAGAGTCGACCTCGTTGGCTATTTCCGTCGGCAGGCATTTTTCCAAATGAAGTTTGCAAGTAATCATGAAAAAGGTAATTTAATAAAAGCAAAATCGAGCAACATAAAACTAATTTACGGCCTGAAATTGCCTGTGAAAAGCGAGTGAAAACACAGAACACAGCGTTGGCCCATTCCTTTGAAGTTCAAGGTTAAGCACACTTTCCCCAGCTGTTGGCTCTGCCGACGGTCCAACGAGCCGTAATAATGGACTTGTGAAAAGAGCAAGAGATCGATTCAAAAAAGGATAAGCCCTCGCATGCATAAGCTCCTTGAGTGGCTGGGTGGCCCTGCCCCCAACAGGCGACACAGCCTCATGTCCGGCAACTGCACAGCAGCAACATCGGTGGCAGGCAACAACAGCAGCAATGCTCAATAAGCGGCTCATACTGGTACCAAAAAAAAATGAGAAAAATAACTCGAAATGTAGGAGGAGGATTTCCTCAAATTTCCAATAATCCCAGTATGAGAGAATGAGAGCAGAAAAAATCTATTTCGGGGGGCTCTCTGCATGATTTTTGTTCCTTTTTCGATTTATTAAAGTTTTTCATGTTTTCAATTTAATTTATATAAAAATCTAATACATAAATGTGGAGTTTATTGTTCTAATTTCTAGAATATACTAATTAAAGTTTACCTCTTTTTCCTACCATTAACAATTTCAAAAATGTTAATGCCTGCTCTTTATGAGCATTAAAAATGTGTAAACTAAAAATTCCTCAACAATAATGCGAGAAAATAAATAAGTTTTTAATTATAATCAACATAGCTGGCGTACATTTTTTTGAAAGTGGTTTTTAACCCCTTCAAACCCGCTTAACCCCTTACAACCACACACATGACAACAACAATTTAAGAGCTTATTTATTCCACATATTTTCATGCCCCATCCGCTCTTATTTTTAGCTTTCTGCTCATTTTTGCTGGCTTGTGGCCAAGCTCTGGAAATATTTGGCCACAAAATGTTACAAGGCCAAGAACTGCAGCAGCAAATATTGCTAAAAATGCTAAAGGACAAAATGTTAAAGTTTAAGCAAATATGTTTGCCACCCCCTTGGCCAGCCCGCCCCCTTCGATGCAGCATTTTACGGGCAAGCGAGCATTTTTGGCTTCCTCGCTCGGATGCGAGTCCAAATCAAAGTATTTAAGCAGGAATGTTTGTGTGTGTGTGAATGTCTTTTTGCATTATTTAAAAGTTGCTTTAATGCCATTTTATGTTTCGGCACGCCAGCCAGAAAGTGGAGCAAGCCATTTGGGATCTGGGATGGCGGCGGGGAAAGTTTCCTGGCCTACGCAAATGAGACCCAATTCCGCAAGGAGTGCAGTCGGTTCGAGCAGTAGGTCACCACCAGAGGAGCCATATATACTGCATATACTATATAAATTGAGGTTGTGCCGAGAAACGTTTAGGCCAAGATTAAGATTTAAAAATAATGTCTGGTCTTAGGAGGTGAGTATTTTGCAAATTTTACTTTCTTTCTCCTATTAGTCAGAATGATTAATGGAGTTGGGATGCTTGGAAATGTATCATTTCTCAGGGCAGATATTTTACAAAGAAACGAAAAATATTTATACTAAATAAAGTATTGTTTTGCCTTTAAAAATGATCAAAAAAAAAAGTTTATGTTTTCTTATCACAATAATTTACTCTCAGACATTTTTAGACCATTCCAGCAGCATAAAAAGTTTTAGCCAACATTTATATAAACTTTCATTACATATTTGCATTCCGAATCATCAACATTTTCCGGGTTTTCATGCTTGACCAATGTGGATTCCCCTGATCTTTGCATATGCCCCATATCTGCCTTATGTTGGCATTGCGGCTATCTGCTAAATTCCATACGAGCATTACCCATTGGACGGGCCAGCTACCATACCAAATACCACAAGCAAAAATAACAATCTGTTTCCAAGGATTCTGCAGCTGGTTCCGGTGACCCTCCGTCTCCGTCTCCATCGCCAGGCAGCCACTGAACATAATCTAAAACAGAAATGTTAAAATCCATTTTAATTTCTATTATGCAAATTTGCTCAAGTGCCATGTGTCGGGCTGTCGGGGGCGACGTTAGGATTTTTAGCCCACTCCAGGCCAGAAGTGGTCTGTGCCACTCACAAACGCACACACACTCACATTCGAGATGGAAAAGTGGTTCAGTCTAGTCGGGTTCGCCTTGCCCCGGATGCATAATAACTTTATTATGGTGGAGATGGGTGACTCCAAGATGGGGCTGTGAATGTGGGCCAGTGGACAGCCACAAAAAATACAGTTGACCTTTTACAGATGGAATTGTCAGTTCGCAAATAAAAAGTAAGAACTTCTGAGGATTGGACTTGGAAAAGTCTGTATAAGTTAGGGAGTATATATCACACTTATGAGATATAGATAACTTCTAACAATGATAAGATTCTAAATAGAAGTACTAGATTAATGTTCTCTTTTCACTATATTTTCAAGGCTGATGATGGAATAATAAAAATCATATTACAATATGATATGGGATTGGATGTATTCAGGATATCTATATTGAGTACTTTAAAATGAGAAAAATATTCAAATCATGTTGATATTAATGCTCATAACACTGATGGTATAAGAATAAAAATCATGATATCCCATAAGCTTGAACTTAAGTAGTATGAAAGTAACACTGATGAAAAATGAATAACAATCATGACAAATCATTATCAGACTTTGAAATGATTAATATCTACATGATATATAGACATTGCTAATAAGAAAATATTCAAAATGTTTTATGATTATACTTACAACACAGATGTTTTAATAACAATCATAAAATAATCATACAAGTATATTAATCATTTACAGTTTCATTCAGCAATGATGATCCTTTTTTTTACTCTTCAACATATATACCCTTAATGATATGATAATTATTATAGTGATGTGATATTTTATATTATTTTTGAATCACTTAAGATTCCATAAACAAATAGTAACATATTATAATCAGACCTTTCTTTTTTTGCCTAAAACTCCAACACTGAAATCAATATCAATACCATTTAAGTTTAAAATTCTTGATTTAAGGAAAACTCAACCATATTGATACTTTCTAAGACATACATATATAAGGCTAGAAAAACCTAATAAACGGCTAGTTCCAGATATAGACATTCCCTTAGTGCCATATACTCCTCCTCCCAGCACACTACAAATAGTAGACGTTATAGACGTTCGACTGTAGACTGTGACCTGGTGCTGGCTGCGCCAGGCAGCCGTGGCA